TGAGAAACAAAATCCATTTTTTTTGAGACAAGGTTTGTCTGTATCTTTGGAATCTATCCTGAAACGCTGATACAGAGAGATCTGCCTGCCTCTGCTTCATGAGTGCTGGGATCAAAGACATTCACCATCACCACCAAAAGAGAAACAAAATCTTAATAAGCAGTTTGTTTTAGGAACTCTTAAAACTATTAACTATTGCCGGGCAGTGGTGCCACATGCCTTTAATCCCAGCACTCGGGAGGCAGGCGGATCTCTGTGAATTCGAGGCCAGCCTGGTCTACAAGAACTGGTTCCAGGACAGGCTCCAAAGCTACAGAGAAACCCTGTCTCAAAAAAACAAAAAACAAAAGCAAAAAAAAACAAAAAACAAAAAACCCCTATTAACTATTTTATATATAAACTAAGTATTTCCATATTACTCTATATTTCTATTCTATTCTATATATATAGTCATATTGCTACAAATAGCATATTTCTATCATAATGTTTTATGTTAAACTATATGAAATTACCATTTTTATCATTCAGATATTATTGGGTATTGTTATCCATTGTCTAGGTAAAAGATGGTTGGATATTGGTAACTTCAGCTAAACCTTTGATACTATCTGGAAGATTTTTTCTTTTCCCTCATGTTTCTAATGATTTATGGACCTATTATAATGTAAAAATCTTTCAAGTTTGTTTGATCTGAGAGTGAGAATAATTAAGGAATAAATCATTTCAGTTGTAACTAACCTTCTTGCACAATTTAGTGTAACCCTTTTTTTGAGCCACATACACTGTTATCACACTTCAAGTGATATCAGTGACAACAAACCCTTAAAGAAGTAAAGTTAATCTTTGGTTCCTGCTAAAAATTCGGATAATCTTAGAATATACTACTGTAGGATGGCAACTTTTCTGATATTATTTTTCTCCTAGCACTTAATATACATTCTATTCCCATTCACATCCCTGAAACTGTGAAGTCTGGTTCGGTAAGTCATAAAAGTGCTGTGTGCTTCACTGGTTAGATAATTCAGAAGAGAGCACCCTGGACTTGGCACTTGACCTTTTCAAAATTGAAGAGTGTTTTGCATCTCATCCAATATCCAGGGCTCTTGAATTTCAACAAAGGCAAAGTGACCCTTGGAAGTTAAAATGTCACATAAAAACTGATATCCAAACTATCTTTCTCAATAACTTCAGTTCTCTCTTTTATGTGCATGGAATGTATATGAGAAACAATCCTTTCATATGCATAAGGAATAAAACCTTCCTCTGTTCCTTCTACGTTCTCCAACTCCTTTCCTGACTTGTTTATGATAAGCCGAGCTGCATAAATAAATAACACACATGTAAGGAGAATCTGCACATACAAAAATATACAAAAATGATGCCAATTTCTTAACTCATACTCAACTGGACAACCATGATGTAAATCTTAATTCTTTAGAGGACATTTTACAATAGCTATAAATGATGCTTACAAATATTAATACTGCCCTATCTGACACTAATATAAACAACTAAGTTCTTCTCTAAATTCTAGCAACAAAAAATGGCAATAAACATTTATGATACTGTGGACCTTTGAGGATTTCAGCTCTAGATAAACTACCCTGACTCATCTAGAGAGAGGTTACACAGAATTGGAAGTGTCTAATATACAGACACTGATGAAAAACATTCTAAATCATGAGCTATTTATGCTTATGTCATTGTCAAGTTGATTCATCTGTGTAGGATATATTCTTTTTGCCAGAGATATAATGTATCATCTTAGCTAGAAACATACAATCACATCCCATTATGATGAACTCTCAGTGTTTATTCAAATTCCTTCCTCTTGTGGAATCTTGTCAAGTTAATACTTCTTAACACTTGTGGTCTTAAAATTTTCCATTGTAAATCAGCTGCCATTTTGGCATTTGGCTGGATCTGGCCTTGTATGACTGTAGTCACACTAACAATTCTGAGTTTGTTGAATTTGAAATTTATAATACTTACCACATTATAGAGTTTTTAATAACCAAGGATACTCGTGTATTCAATATTTTATGAAACTTTTTTCTTTTAAATGAAGACATATATATATATATATATATATATGATTTGATATAGTTTTACATTACAAATAAAATCAAGAAGATTTTAAATAACCTGATTTAGTTAAGTACAAATAAGCATTTTTATAGATAACAAATTATTAGACAGCTATTTTATGTGTAGAACAAAGTGCTTAGCACTGCATTTCTTCTTGGTCTTTTGAAGTGTTTACTGTTAATTTAGGGCCAGTTATCAATAAACAAAACGAAACACTGGTCTTGAATACATTCACGAATCTGCTCTTGCTTATATTTCATTTTGCAATCATACTCTAAGGATGAAGAGTTTATCTGAGAAATCCAGAAGGGCAAGCATCCTAAATCCAGGCATTGTTAGCTTTATGAGCTTATTAAACACTCAGCCTTTATTGCAAATGGGCCTTAGCCATTAAAACGTGTAGTTTCCTCTCACGTCATGACTAAGTAATTTGAAAACCCTATGGGCTGAAAATGGACAGAAAGGTTGCAGGCAGATTGTCATCAGGAAAAATGGTCATCAAATCAATGCAGGGAACCTACCCCAAATATCCCAATGAAGGAAGGACCTGGCGCCTGTCCTGCTTGTCCTCTTTTACTGCAAATACCTGTTTTGTTTACCTTTGCGGTGGTTGTTTTGTTTTCGGAAATAAATTCCAAGGTAAAGTTCAGTGACAGTCTCTGGGGAGCTGTGGAACTTCTTACCCACTTCTGGACTTGCTTTCTAAAGACACTCCTCTCTTAAGGCATCATCTCGTCCTGCCCTCACTCACCTCCCCTACTGTGCCAATATTGTCTGATGTATTATTTTGTGGTGTTTATATGTACATATATATTATATTTACTTATAATGAATACTCAAATTATTTTTAAAATGCAATGTAAATTTTGAGGAAATATTCAAGATTCTCATGCATTTTATTTTGTACAGCTTTGAAAAGTTTTGAACATTTTCAGTTCATTGTACTTAGTAAAATCAGGTTTGAATGTTATTACTGTAAGATTAATTCTAAGAAGCTTTAAATACTGTAGTTTATTTTCCTTAATTTTAAGAAGCTTTAGATATTATAATGTTCTTTGTGATCATTGGTAATAGGTTGGAGTGCTAGAAAGCCAAACTCTCAGTCCTTTCCCAAGCTTTCACATACTTTTTTTGTCACCTTAAGAACCTTTGTATCTCCCTTCAGTTCCCAACCAATTTCTTATTCTTGTTTATCTTCGTCTTGCAAAAGAAACAACAGAACCACTATTTTTAAAATGAAAAGTTAAAAAAGAACCCAAGGACTCGAGCATGTGACTAATCATGAGCAACACATCTTAATTTCAACCTTGACTCAACTCTCCCAGGAAGTTACTAAGACTCAGTCCTCCACACTCTTTGAGGAACTGCCGCGCGGATTCCACAACTGACCTAAAGATTCTTGGAGTCAGTTTAAAGGGGGAGCTTGTGCTGCCTTGTTATCTGAATGGATGAAGAAGGTAGTAAGGCAGCTTCTTTCTCTGTTGTTTTCAAGAGTGACAACTAAATTGACTTAGCAGGTTCTCTGACTGCTTTGCTTCTCCACAGGGCCTTGCTTTCCACAAAAGCTCCTAGTATATGTTTATTGAGCAGGTCTCAATTTGCATAGGTTTCGAAGCATTGAGGGCAGAATGTAGCTCCATCAAGCCTGCTTATCATTCAACTGTAATTCAGTAGCGATTTGTTAGGAAAATTCCGGTTTTTACTGCTGCTCTAAAACACAGCATAAGACTTACCAATGAAATAAATCGTGGTGAGTTCTCAGTCAACAACAATAGACAACCACAACTGTCTTGTATCGTTGGTATCTGATCCCAAGTGACATTTTAATTTTGCTAGAGGAATTGATGAGTAGTTCCCACAGGAAACGGGGGAGGAGTGGGGAAACTAACCTAACCTAACCTCATTCAATCTTTGTCTGACAGGAACTTTACCTCCCAGTGTACTGGACATGTCATCTTTAATAGCAGGCCGGCAGAAGCGCTAAAGCTGTGAACACTGTGACTTTGTTTTGAGCATTAACTCTGTTAAGGGATTCCTGATGCTCTTCCCCAGTGACAAACTTTAGAAGAGCCCTATGGCCACCACTGTAAGATGTTCGTACTAAGACTAATAACGAAGAAGATAGCCTTGTTGCTGGTATTTCACAGGAGGCTTTCCAAGTTCTTGTTTACTTATCACATCCTTTTGTGTGATGCTCACATCTACTCTACTCATTAACAGATAGAGAAAGGAAGCAGGCAGCAGAGCCTGCTTGCCCTTCCCTTTGCAATTCTAAAATTCCTTGAGGGCTTCTCACCCTAGTCACCTGGGGAGTTTCTACCGCTGCTGGGAGAAAGTGCAGAGGGGTTAACTAAGCAGGGGAACAGCCCCAGGTCAGGGCTTTGGTGGAAATAGGCCAGCTTTCTCAGCCTTCAGGGAGGATCTTTCTGAGGAGTGTTCTACTTGATCTTCTAAAGGTCTCCATCAGGGGGTGGGGGACTGATCTAACAGTACCTACAGCAGTACCCCAACCTACTCAGGCTTGTCTGTCTTTCTGGCTCACCTCTTCCATTTCCCTTTTGGTACTACTAGAGCTTTTCTCCTAAATAAACTACTTCTATCTGCATCCCCTACTTGGGTCTGATTTGAGAAAACACACCCAACACACTAGAGCACAGACAAGATTGGTATTTGCCAAATACTACAGTTATTAAATGAAGGAACATGGCTAGAGCCAAAGTGTTTGTTTGACTTTCTGGCATTTGTATCAGATTAGGATGTTCCTCAGTTGATGGAACTTGGCCCAGACTTTCTCAGGAAAGTGAAAACTCTGTATCTGAAAACAATTATTATATGGTTCTTTGAGAAAACTAGTTACCACTATATACAGAAAACAAAGAGCAAAACCAAGGAAAATGAAAGGCAATAATTACCTAGCATGACGAAAGGGAGTCCCAGGAAGGTGGAATTGTATTTTCCACCAGTAAGATTGATGATTCCAGCTGCAGTGAGAGTGGCTAGGCTTATGCTCACCAACCCAAGTAGGCCCAACCAGGGTTTGCTGCGGACACAGTCCTGCATCGAGCAGCAGAGGATGGCCATGGTGACTACCAGGATCAGGCTGGTGACCAGGTAACGTTCTGATACACGGCTGGTCTTCTGGAAATCTTCCCTCAGTGATGAGGATGTGTATGGGTATATTTTGACTTTGTTGTTGGATTTCTGGAATAGTTTGACAGTGTCGCAGAAGCTGGATTCCCACCTCTCAGCTACCATGTCATTGAGACTGTTGATTGACTGCAGATAGTAAGTGAGCTGAATGGCCTCCGCAGATTTTACCCGATCCTTGCTGTGGACAGTGACACCTCCAAGTTGGTGCCCATTATAGACAGCCCTTCCATCCTTTAAGTGAGTGATGGGATATGTGATAGCAAAGTTGGTCCGATTGGTGGTCCGAGCATTCTTTAACTCTTCCAGGACATGTATTATGTCATCCACAATGCAAGTCTTATCATTATTCAGGACACATATGTGTGCAAATGTATAGTTAAAGCCAGGCCTTGGAACCTGAATCTTGGTTACAGCAGTATGTAACTATGGGGGAGAAAAACAACAGTTAGATTTTTTAATGAACACGTAGACATTAATAAGTAACATTAGCTCCAGAGATTAAAATATTTCTTTTTTTTTTGGAAAAAGTCATTAGTTTAATCTGTAAAGAAGAGAGTTTAAAAAAATGTTTTGCCCATAGACACAAATATGTAGTAGAGATTGAAGACATACACTGAATTAGTAGTTTTCAGCGTGGCTCCCAGGATAGCAGTGTCAACCAAACAGCTTGTCAGAAATGCAAATTTTTAGGCCCTATTCCAGACCTGAGAAATCCGATTCTCTGGAGTGCAACCTAGGTAGATCTTCTGGCAGATTCTGATGGTGCTAACATTTGCGAAGTATTACCTTCAATTACCAATATTACTTCTATGTTCCTTTTATTTGTCACCAAAATAGTCAATAATGTTTGCAAATCTTACATAGGTGTCTTGTTTATTATTTTTCTTGGAAACACGATGTAACAAGTGAAAGAAGGTACAGTTCTGAATGCAGAGGTTTCCTGAATGCTAGTCCCTTACTACCAATTTCCAGGGCACCTTAATAAGCTTATCCAATTACTCTCTACTATAAAAGTCAAGAAGTTTACCTTGATAGATGTGCTGGCTAGTTTTATGGCAACTTGACAGAAGAGAGAGTTAACAGAGAGGAGGGTCCTCAAGTGAGAAGATGCCTCCATAAGATCAGGCTGTAGGCAAGCCTATAGGACATTATCTTAATTAGTGATTGATGCGGGGAGGGTCCAGCCTTTTGTAGGTGATGCCATCTCTGAGTTGGTGATCCTGGGTGCAATAAGAAGGCAGGATGAGCAAACCATGGGGAGTACCCCAGTAAGCCGCACCCTTCTATGGCCTCTGCATCAGCTCCTGCCTTCAGGTTCATGAACTGCTTGAGTTTATTACCTAATTTCCTTTGATAACAAAGAGTGAGTGGAAGTGTAGACCAAATAAACCCTTTCCTCCCCAACTTGCTTTAGTCATGGTGTCTCATCACAGCAGTGGTAACCCTAACTAAGACACTAACCCTTGCTTCTCGGCTGTTCCTTGTCTGCACAAGTGAGAAATGCACAAAATGTTAAAAGTCTAGCTGAGACAAATTGAAATCATACTAAAGGAGCAAAATGTGACTTCTATACACTTTAAGGCTTGGCCTGACGTGTGCTTGTAGAGTATTTGCCTATTCTGTGCAAGACCCTGGTTTGTATCCCCAGTATTCTAAGAATTATTCTACACACCTTGACTAGTGTCAGATTGTGGTTGTGTCTAGTGACTTTATACTTGCCATCGAATAGCATATAAGAAGCTAAATAACATCAACTACTCCATGCCAAGCACAGTTCTAGGCATTAGCACAGATTAGCTGACCTAGAATTTATACCAGAACACAAGGTAGATATGAATACTGGCCTTATCTCCCAGGTGAGGCAACTGAGACATGGAGAACTTAAATCATTTGTCTAAGATCATGTACATCATAATAGATCGAACAATGCTAAACCTAGCAGTCTGAACAGGGCTGGTGCTCTTAGGCTTTTACCATACATACCTCTAGGTGCCAGAACTGCAGTGAGGATTCCTGCCAGCAGCTGATTCCTGAATTCGTGCTTTTTTAACTCTGCTGCTAAAATTCACATGGAAGTGTATATAGAATCTAATATCTGAAGTAAGAAAACAGGTAGTATGTTTGTGAGGGGATTATGGGATTTAAATGAACTACTACCATGTGCCAGGGCATCACACTTTACCTCCTCTCGGCAATTCAGTCAGTTTAGAATGAGAATTAAAAAGGCTCATGGAAGTCTTGCAGCTAGGGCTAATTGGCATCTTAAAATGGCATTATCTTCTGTTTCAACTATAGATACATAGGCCCTCAGTTAACTGTTTCAACTCCACAGTCAGTCATTTTCATGATGGCTTTGTTGTACCTGTGTAAATGTAGCTGGTCTGCAAAAATGAGGCCAGTGAGAGACATGTGTTGGAGTGTTAAATAAACAAGTGTATCTATGGCTCTGCCTAACATTCAGTGGACTCTCCCACAAGAGTCTGCATGACCCTTCTATATCTTCTCTCAATCTGTTCTAAATGGATTATTGGTTAAGATGTTTTACTGCGCGTGTGTCTGAGTGAGGGGGAAAGTAAGCTTTTTTCAAAATGTCTCAGAAGCACCAGCTGTTAAAGTACTTTACTTAGACCAGAGATGGAGTGGTTCATCCTAACTCCCAGTGTCCCCTACCCCCACATCTCTTCATGAACACAACCCCTTAGGCTCTGAAGAGATTTGTTGTATTTTTGTTGGCTAAAATATTTTCATTTCTTTCACATACACATATAGTCTTCTAAATATACCTAGCAGGCTATTTTTATCGTTTGAACCATATGCTGAAGTTTTCTATTGATATTTTGGGATTAATGGCCAGAAAACACCTTTCAAAGGTTTTAAGCTCTGAAACTATCGTTCCACCCACTTTTGTCTGAGCACAGGCCAGCAAGTCTTGGTTAGGATTACTCCTAATCACTGAAAATTTCCAAATGCAAAAGGTCATTTTGGAAGAGGAAAAAGTAAAGGAGACTGTAAAGATGAGTGAATTTTGATAAGAATCAAAGACTTTGTGTGAAAGAGCCAGAACAGAGAAATGATATTGAAAGAATGTATATGTGTAATATTTAGTGCATTGTTTCTTTCCATAAGCAGCGTAATAAATCTCCCTTAGAGCGATTACCAAATATGTCAAGAGGAAAGGATTGCCAAATAAGATGGTGTTAAGCCACAGGGCTGAACCCAATTATAACAGGGGATATTTTTCCATCCATTTCCTCCAATGGCCATGCCCTGTTAGTTGGGGAGGTATAAACTATTTAGCGATCTGCCAACTTTGCAAATCTACTGCTGTGACCTCTGGGAATACACATGGAAGGAAGGAGACACCATATTAACCCCTGTGCTAGCCAACGATTGCTGAGAGTTTTGGAAAATGGGAAGGAACCTTACTGGCTTGAGACCAGAAAATGTCTTAACTCAGCAGTAGAGATGCTGTGAGATGCAGTTGTCCTGAATTTCTGATGGAGTAGTGGGTGGCACATGTATCACTCTGCTTCTGAGCCATAGGGTGACAGAGAATAAACAACAAAGCAGTTGGGTGGTGCCTAAGGCCACCCACCTGGCAAGGGAAACTATGAGATTGTGCTGTAGAATAAGAGATGAGAAGGTAGAATAGAAATTGAAAGTTGAGATGCCTCTTTGTGACTTTTGAAACCACTCAGCTCTCATCATTTATTTTAATGACTACATGTCAAGGATTAACACATTTCACTCTTGGACACTAACATTGTCATGGTCAGATATCTTACATATAATACTTAAACATCTACATGTTTGCATGGTTTTAGAATTCTCTGATTTGCTTTCTGAAAGGAGCCCTAAGGAGAGAAGTAGAGCCCTGGCATTCTAAGTTGTGATACAATGTATATTTGCAAGATTTAGGGAAAAAGGAAAATCCAGAGAGATCGAAGTTATGCTTCAGCTAGACTATAATATAAAAAGCAGCAACCAACATGAGTGTAGTAAAAAATTGGTTAAGAGGCTTTAAGAAAAGAAAAGGAAGAGTAAGTAAGACATATTAATAGCCCTGACCCTTAACATAGCCTGAATCTGTCACATGGATCTATGGAAAATCTGCATTTGTATGGCTATGTATAGATGCCATTAAGCCAAGACACATTCAGTAAGTACTCACCAAATCTACTGTGTTGTCAGTAATATGATAATTTTCCTGAACTTAGTTTGCTTGCATTCATGCATGCAAAATTACATGAAATACAGCATTGAAAATGAGAGGATTCTAACAAAAAAACAACACCAAGTACTTTGTAATAGTAAAGCCCACGCCTATATAAACCCTGATCATGATATTTTGATTATTATATATTTGCCTCTAAAGACATTAGGCTTGAATGCTAAATTGAAATTCATTCCAAGCCTCTGAACATATCATTTAAACTGTCAGCTTCTTTGCTCTTTTCACCCTTCATGTTAAGAATAATAATAGTACTACTGATGAGTCTGCTAAGGATTTTAAACACATTTTAAAACTTTATTCAAGACCAAGACTGTGGAAATGTTTAAATTATTACTCCCATTTTGCAGCTGAAGCAAGTGAGGCTTAATGAGCTTCAATAAGTCAACTAAGACTTGCAAAGTAAAGGGCAGATACAGGACTCTAAATCAGGCCCAACTTCATAGCAGAATGCAGTCTGAGACCAACACAAGTTCAGCAGAAAGGACAAAGAAGAATCAGACAAAGATGGAGAACTGTCAGGCTACCTGGTTCAGATAGCTAACTGCCAGTGTAATGACTGAGCATACTTGGAGATCCAATAAGAGAGATCAGAGATGATGCAGACAGATAAGCTACACCTCATCTTTAGACTTCAACATCACATGACAATATGAACAAATAGTGAATGGGGTAGCTTATACTTTTCTATTCTTCTTACAGTGTCTAGAATTGCCAGATAAAGCTTTTCAGAGATGAGCTTATTAGTTATTCCACCTTTGAGCCAGGAAGCACAAGAAAATCTAGTAATAAGATGTGTGGGATTCCAACATGGCTTCTCTGCTTACCTTAGATATGCTGGAGATCCTAAGCATGTCACACTGCTGCTTTTGGTCTAAGACTTCAGGTCTCATATTTTCAGAATAAGAAGGGTGCTTGGGCCTAGCTGATTCTGTTGTTGTTGTTGTTGAAAATAGACTCTTCTCTCATACAATACATTTCAACCACAGTTTCCCCTCCCTTTACTTCTGCTGGCTAGCTCCACCTCCCCTTCACCTTCAGATCCACTCCCCTTCCTTTTTCCCTTCAGAAAATCTTCAAGAGAAGACTGTCAAATAAGACAAAAGAAGAAAAAATAAGACAAGGCCAATTCCCTCATACTGAGGCTGGACAAGGTAAACAAATAGGAAGAAAGTAGTTCCACAAGCAGGAA